GTTTTTTCAAAAGCAACATGTATAGGTTCCTAGAGACAAAGTGTTCTACTATTATAAACTCTATATGCTTTGCTAGAGAAGAAATAGCCAAGAAAAATTTCATAATCAATTTTTCAACTAAGTTTATCTAAATTATCTTTAGTATTAAGAATAAAGCATCTTGAACAAAAAACCTTAAAATATAAGATGTTGGGTTTTCTTCTTCTCCAAAGCTCATGATGAGTCTTTTTCAACTCTGATTTCAAAGTATCATGGTTTAAAACATAGTAAGAAGTGTTTGCTACTTCTACCAAAAAACATTTAGATGTGTCAATTCATTTAGTATAATTCTTGCCATTTCTTGAATAAACTGATTTTTCATTTCCATAGCCCTATTTTGTTTAAGAGTTTTATGAATTGAAAAGTGATGATGGTATCATTTTCCTTCTCAGAATGTTTTAAACAAATAACTTATAAATTTATCATCATGATCACTCCTTATGTTTATTATGGAAAAAAACTTTTTTTATTTTCAACTTTCTTTGAAAACTTTTCAAATTCATAAATTGTTTTAAAAACAAAACTCAAGTATATCTTGTAAAGTCATTAATAATTATAAACATATATCTATTACAACTTATATTTATAGTTCTAACTGGTCTAAAAGTTTAAGCAAACTTTATATACGAGAACTAATATTTAACATCAATTGTTATTTAATAATTAAGGCAACTTAACATCTAAAAGAGAGTTGAATTAGTTGTATTACTGAATTTGATAATTAATACAAATTATTTCAAGTACATATAATAATCAATAATATAATTAAAATACTTAAAAAAATAAGATAAGGGAGAGAATTTACAATTAATTTTTTAATATAGTTCGACAAACCTACATCCATACCTTAAGTACCAAACCATATTTAAACATTACATTCCTTTATTAGTTCAAGTTCAATAATACAATAATTACTTGATGAATTCATACCAAACTTTTTACACCACTTAAATAAATATTTTTTAAAAGATTTTTTTCACTTGAAAATATGTTTTTTTCAAGATTTTGTTCGGTAAACTTACCTCTCTAATTGTTTACCATGGTATTTTGTTTCCACAACAAACTCTCTCAATAAAATGGATAATATAATTGAAGCTCTTATATCTCTACAAGATAATATTTATATGATTTAAAGGCGTTTGCTAGCAAAAGTAAGATTTAATAATATAAAAATTTAATAGCACAAATTAGAGTATGATAATGATTGATAATTTTATAATTGTTATGCTCTTAAAATAGCTTGTATATAGCTATTATTATTTCTCAAACAATTTAAAATTATCTGATTTTTATATAATTTCTAGATGTTTATTATTAATGAATTTGTAATTGATTGATTCGTATAAAATTTTAAATTTTATTAATTTAACCTCATAGAACATCTTATAGAATTCTTTGCATGTAGAGTGAAATGTAATACTTCATTTTAATTTTGCTATTAAAATATAAAATAATTATATTTAAACACTAAAATATACACTTTATTTACTAATTGATTTTTTCATGAAATTTATCAAGCTTCTTAATATTTTTTTTTGTATAAAAAATATTTAACACTTTCAATTATTAGTGTAATTTTTATTTTATTGTTTTTATTAAAATATATAAAAAATGAATGCATGCATATAAAAATCTACAAAACTAAGATTTCATAATTTGGCAAGTGTAGCTAAGATAATTTTCTCTTTCTTGGCCGGCAATTCATCCTATTCTTTGAAGTATTCTGCATAATCTTGTGTTCTCTTGTTTGCAACATTCCATATAAAGTTTAATAATCCTTGAGCTTTTTGAGATGTTCGTTGTTGCTTTATGATGCTGTAAGACCTGCAAGGTCGCCATGTGTCCATTACTAGCTTGAGCTAAGACATCATTAGAACTGTGCTAGTGTGATATTTCTTTTTCATGCCAAGATCGGACCTTCTCAACCTCTTATCTCACTATTAGTTTGTGGCCATAGCTCTTTATAAGACGAGTCTATTCATCCATGGCTAATTGACGATCCTTTTCCAACTTTCTTCCAAATTCTTCAATTCCTCCAATTTCTTTTCTGCATTCACAAGCTGGAGTTGATGTTCTTCGAAATGGGTTTGTTTATTTTAAAAAAACTTTTGTGGAAGTCATTATTCGGATGGGACTCAGAATATGGGTGGTGATATATCAGGATGGTCGGCAAGGCCTTTAAAGAGCCAATTACGACGAACGAGACCATTGATACAAATCATCATTGTCCCTCCCTTTTTTACTTGGAAATATTCTCAGAGACCAGCTAAAAAGCCTCAAACGGAAATCAAATTTGGTTTTTCGACACAAAAGGTGCCAGACATGCTTGTCTGAATCAAAATCTAAAATCAAGGGGCACAAGCTCTCCATAAAAAGTCGGAGAAATTAAGATAAAACACTAGAATTGAAGAAAACAGGTAATGAAAAATAAAGGATAGATGTATTTCAACGAGATCATCAGATAGGAGCGAAAGACTAAAAGGTTTTGTAATAATCACAGAGATTATCAGTTGAACTATGCTTGTAATCATCATATGACCCACTTTTTTCAATCTAAAACAGATCTAATAGACAAACAAAAAACAAATTGGGGGAGAAAGATCTTATGCAAATCATATAAAAACAGGGCCTCAGAAGGAAGGCAGTAGTGGTAAGTTCGTAATCACAGATTCATCATTCGTGACAGATATACCAGTTCTTTCATCAAGGGCAACAGCATCAAAAAGAGATTATGAAAAACTGACACCCAAAAACATAGCTTGAATCAGAAACGGGAAAGAAAGTCATTAAAGATTCGGCCTCATAGAGAAGATTAGATTTATCAACACACATAGTTTCAGACATATGCTTGTCTTTGAATTTTTGTTTAATCATCGGCCGAGCAACTTTCATAACAAATACAAAAAAAAAAGAGAGTAGCAGACAATATGAAAAAGGGACTCGGGATATGGGTGGTGACATATCAGGATGGTCGTCAAGGCCTTTAAAAAGCCAATTACGACGACCGAGACCCTTCACGATGGAACCAGATATGTAGACAGAGGGATACCTCGGAGGCTCCTTGCATAGAGGCGAGAAGGAGAACTAGGGTTATGTGTCTTTATAGTAGCTGTGGAAAACAGAAGAACGACCAAGCGTTCAAGGTTTATTCTTCATTGTGCAATTTAGGGCGGAAGGCCCAAGCCACACTAAACCAAATCGATAGCAACTCTATGTCGGCATCTGTTGGCCCATTGACTCCATTTGGCTTGCAGCTTGCTTATTGTTTGACCATCCGATTTTTATCAGCTTTGAAGTGATAAACGTAGCCTTCTGATCTGCTTGGAGATCTGCTTGGAGTTATAATCATGGCCGTTAATCTCACTAATAACTTGCCACCCAACTAGAAATGGAAAAACGTTCCACTCCTCCTTAAAACAAAGGTTACATTTACGTGTTATTCCCTTAAATTTTTTTTTGTTATTAACATATTAAAAATTATTAAAAAGAATATTAATTGAGTATTTTTTCAAGTCAAATATATTTGTAAAAATGAAAAAAAATCAGTATTTATAACTTTTCAAGAGGAATTGAAAACTTAAAGTTAAGTGTAAATTGATTCCTGCCATTTAAATGGAAAATCAATGAAGTAATTCTTCTAGTTTCAGAATTAATATTATTTAGTTCATATATTCTTAAATTAGCACTTTCACTGATTTCATTTTCATTCATGATTTGATTAGGAAAGAATGAATGTTGAAAAGAAAAAAAAAACTACTACATTATGAATGATTAAGGTGCCGTTTGGTAATGCGGCAACAATTGAGGTGCAGCCAAAACACAAAAATTACATATTTGATTACGTTTAAAATGTGGGTTCAAAATGATGGGACCTATCCCCTAATGGCTGAACCTGTGGTTGGAAAAAAGTGGCCAGTAGTTGCTGCTAACCAGCAGCAACCTCAAGCAACCCATCAACACTGTAAAAAAAAAAGCCGTTGGAAAATTAACACACCCCTGCTCTCCCATCAAAACTCCTCTGCAAATCAATTCAAACGGCTCCTCACATATTCTCCTCCCCACTCATCCATTGTCAAAAAATTCAAGGAACCCTATCTTGCCGTTCACAAGTTCCATAACGTCAACGAGATTGTATACTCCGTTTGTTGTTCACCATCCTTTCTTCCCACCTAGCAGATCCCTCCTCCATTTTTATCCTTTCTTGCTAAGCTCTGGAGTTTGTGAGGTTGCTACAAAATTACATTTGTTGCCATTGTGTGTCCCTCCTCCCTGTCATTTAAAAATCGAGTGAGCTCACAAACACACACACGGTAAAAAAATTATCTCATCTACTGTAAAAAATAATTGCCCCTTCTGTTTTTCTACTCAAAACGACTTACCATGCCTTGATGTTGTAGATCTGCTCAATATAAAGGTATATTGCCATTTGTTTAATTTTGAAGTTCATCTGCAACATGTTAAAATAATTTTCCCGTTTGTTTTTCTTCTCACAATGTGTTTGGGATTGTTGTTGTCATACTTGCAGAGCTGATTTCTGTGAGAGGCAAAAGAACAAGGGGACGAGAAATTACTTAGACCAAAAGAATACAGTTCTGCAGTAGAAAGTATGTTTTTTGTTAAAATTTTACGCCTCCCTGAAGATAATTATAGATATGTATATATGTTTAGGTGTTGTGTATTGTTCTAGGTTA